AGTAGAAGTTATTATCTACGTACAAGAATCGGAAACCTCAGCTCATAAAACTTTCACACCATTCTGGATAAGTTTCACGAATCCAAAAATGAACCACAGCGAGGAGTGCCACGTTGTCACACTTGATCTCACACAATATTTGAGACTAATATTTTAATGTGAGAGAGGCGCGTCACCCATCCATTTGAGATCTGTGCGGTTGGCCTCCAGATGAAGGATTCAGTTGAAGACCCACGGAAAACGATGAGTGTGCGAACAAGCTACTTCGTTTTCAATGCAGTTGAAACCTTTGTTTCGCGTTTTTCCTCTGCTTCGGATATGGAAGTGTTTGGCTGAGTAGATTGCAGTCAACCTGACCTTTCCAGGCTATGAAAAAGACTAAATCCGGCGAAACGTTAGCTTTTGCTGGAAAAAGGAGACCCTTTCCACAAACTGATGTAGGTTCACATCCTCACCGCTTTTCTGTTCTCATTCTTTACCGCATTACAAGAATCTTTACTCTCTGTCGTATAATCGTTTATGTTCATCTCTCCCTCAATTATTATCACGTTGTGAATGCCCGTTAAATTTCAGAAGACTTTTTTCCGCTTTGTTGAGATTGTTAAGCGTCATCTCTGCTCCAATGGTACACCTCGAAAAAATGACAATTTCATCGGCGAAACGAAAATTTGAATGGAATTATCCATAAATACGTGTGTCTTTCTCGTCCCAATCGGGTGACTTTATTGTCTACTGTAATCCGGCTGTAAACAGTTGTGGCGATATTGTGCCGGCTTGTCGAAGACCTTTCCCTATGGGGTGTGGTGAAAGGTCAATGAAAAGGCTGCACATTTGTGCTGCAGTTCCAGTAAGACTCAGCTAATGTGCCAATACTGGACCAGTCAGCTCCTCGGCCGACCAGCGCTAATACGATTGCACTCGTTTCGGCACCATCAAACGCTTTCTCGTAGTCGATAGAGGTTAGGACAAGGGGTAAATGGTATTTCCGACAGAGTTCTATGACCCTTGATACGACTTCGCTGTGGTCCATGCAACAGAATACCTGTCGGAATCTTGCTTGCTCAACTGGTTGTGCCTCATCGAAAGCCTTCGATATGCACAATAAAGTAATCTTCGTGAAAGGTTGTAAAGTACACTCAACGAGTTTATTGGACGCTAGTTTTGAAGATCCCTTCGGTTATCTTTCGTGGGAAGGATGATCGTGCGCGAAAGCCTCTACGTGTCTGGGATTTTCTTTTCCTGAAAGTAGAATGTCATTTGAGTTGAGAGAAGTACATGTAATTTGTGGCCGCCAGCTCTAAGTCGGCGGTGATATTATCGGATTTTGGAGCTGTGTTTGTCTCCATGCTTTCTATGACAACTCAAGCTTCGGAGAGTAGAATCTCGGGCGGTTCTTCGCCAACGAGAATTTCGGGACCCAAGTCGGTGATTGTGGAGCGAAAGATTCTTATGGAACCTTTCCGTTATAAATCCGTATTGTGACTGTTTATGGTGATAGTTGCATCTTCGTTAATCAAGGCAGACAGAGAAACATTGTAATCTCAAAAATCAAGACGATGCTTTATCAGATTGGATCTTTTTTGAGTTGCTTCCAATAACGTTTTTTGCCTATACCAATGCAAATATTTTTGCAAAGATCCTGTGCAGCTGGTATTTGTTATCAGCCGTGCCAGGTGTGTTGCAATAGGATCAAGCTACAGAGTCCTACTCTTTCCAACTAACTCCTTAGTCTTAATGGAGATGCGGCTTGAACTCCTCATTTGAAGAACTGAGGCGAGTTCGGCACAGGTTTTAAGACGTTCAACAAGCAGCGTGTGGTCCTCGGCTGGGTGTTCACTTCGTAGAACGAGCTCATGCTGCGAAACCCGTATTATGAGCGTATGGTGTCCTCCAGTCGTACTAGGAGAGGATTCTACAGAGAATATCTTTGTGGTGTATGACTTGTTTCGTTTTTCCTGGAGAACGGCAGCAGTTCTTTCCTAGTTTATGGCTCAATCCAATCTTCTCATGGAGAAGGCGGTGATCAGATTCAGTACAGAATCCGGGTACCAGTGGGGTACCAAAAAGGCATTACCTTCTTTCCGTGATAATGTGATGGGTGCCGTGTCTTTAGAAGGCTCCCATTTCCATGGGTCATTGTCTCTGCTTCGGAAAAATGAATTCCCATGAAAGAGAAGTGCTGCAGGCAGGAGTCCTCCAAATTGGTTTTCATTCTCGTTTCATTCTCTTATTCTCAAATCCCTTATCCTGTATTCATGTTCGTTGGTCGCTTCTAATCTGGCGTTAAAATGTCCGACAAGGAATTTACAGTACTTCTCATTAAGGACTGCTTCATCCAGTTGGATGTTGAACACGTCCAATTCGCTCTCATCTGTTGTACAAGTTTGTGATACTTACGTGCAAATTAGACAGGATGAATGGTCAAGCGCTGTGAACGCATTTTATATGAGGTGATAGGTGGAAATTAAATGGATGCGTGAAGAAACGAACGCTTCAGACATTTCGTAACGGAAATTTTCCTTCACCAATGACCCACAGTTCCGTCATCTAAATGGAGTATGTCGGTTCACCTACTTTTCGTTTGCCGTAGCGCGACCACATGGAATTTGATGCAATCAGTAGCGTCAAAAAGAGAGTAAAGGCCGGCTTTTGAAGAGACTGTTTTGGCGTTAGAGATCGACAACAAGAACCAGTCTCTATGACGTGTCGAAAACGTGTTTATTTTGTCCGTTCCCACGAACGTCCTGAGCAAACCGAGATTTGATCGCCACTCATCGGCTTTCCCACCACCCGACGTCGTAGTGGGGTACGCGCACAATGTGTGTGGTGCTGAGGCCGGAATTTCGCTGGTTTAGGCATTGTGGTTCTCTGGAGTCCCAAGGTTAGCCTAGGCGAAGCCTTCCTCATGTCACCACCACCCCAGCCAGTCGCCGCCCTTGTAGATCAAAGGAGGATTTGTCATCTTCCATTTAATCTCATACCAAGATGGCTATTAATTCTGGTACTTGTTTACTCTTAGCTGGGTTTCCGGATAGAAATGTCGGGTTCCTTCTCAGAGTTGGAGGACCTGCTGAAGGGAACTCTGTACAACGCAGCACGACACCATGGAACAACTCGCAACCACGATGACGCGGAAACCCTTTGCAAAGTCCGCTTAAATTTACAGAGTTATGCTGAGCTGATACATGATTACCGCGCACATCTATCAGCGTTATGTAGTGAGGAGAATTAAAGCAGAAACGTTCGATTCCTTCTAACAACGCAATTACCTTGCGTGCTAAGCGTTCACTTCATGAGTGGCCCCATCTTGATTACTAATGCAAACATCGACTTCAAAATCTCCAGCATGTTGGATAGCGAAATGAAGCATTCAAGACCGGAACGCTAATGAATTCAACCAGTAGCATTGTCAGTGTTAAAAATTGGACTTGGCTAGCTTCATTCCGTACAAAAAGAGATTTTTATTTCCATTACAACCAATTTCGTGAAGCATCGGATCGGTTGTAAAATCGCGTTCCTGTTAAGCTCCGATAATTCCAAGACTCGATATCTACAAAAGTGAATTTCTACGAGTTAAATCCCTAGTTGTGGAACTATGAATTGAAACTGATCTTCTGTCGCTGTTTTCAAGTGAGATATGAGATATATATGAGATAAACACCCTTCCTCAAGTAAACCATGTTATTGCGAGAACAGAGTATTTATGAATATCGATGTGTAATGTGCAATGTAAGTCCCCATTTAAAATATGCAAGTAATTATGAGCATTTCTGTTACTTCAAATCTGGGACTGAAATGCTTTCCACGAGTAATGCATTGCTATCTGAACGGTTTAGCGCTAAATAGCCCAAAGAATTCGGAAAGAGTGATAAGAGCAAGCTCGTGTAATCCATATATGTCACTAGGAATCGTCGTACTGAGTATATTGAACACCAACATTTCTGGTGATAAATTCGTCGACTTGAATTTCGTCAAAACTTACATTTCTTACGGTAAGGTGGTGTTTGAAAGATGGTTGACAGCTAATACACTCTCTTGTACTAATTCATTCGGATGAATTGGGAATTTTTCAGCAAATCTAGTTATATCAGCACATCTCATACTGCCAATTCCTCTTCGTTTCCTTCTCGAACTTGCTTTTTTTCCTCAAGGAAAGAACTACAATGCATTTGGCTTCCGATGTGGCTACGTAGCCTCCTGGTTAGACGCCCCAAGCTCTTCCACATGCGGTAGAATCTGACTGCAGATTCGTCACTCTTTGAATTAATTATATCGCACTTTTGCATTGCCATAAGATTTATGTAAAGGAAACGCTTCAACATTGATGTGGTACTGGCTATGCACTCGACTGCATTCGTATTATCGCTGCAGTGGTTGGATGTATATCCGACCTACAAGATTGGGTTGACCTACCGGTGTACCCGACCAATGCTTTTAACCTCCGGATCCTTTCTATACTCGGAATAAATAGTATCCTTCTCATCCAGTGTTTTTTTATGCACTCCTTCATTTATAAAAGCAAGAATTCGCTATTTCAACCCTGTTATAGTCCTACGACTCAAAAAAAAACTATTGCTTATTTCAAAACAAAGCTGGGAAAAAGGCAAAGAAAGGTCTCGTCTGCCCTGGTGGAGAGCACATGAGCTGCCGGTAAAGATAACCGCGGGCTCGAAGCCCACAAGGCATCCCGAGTTTTGCTGACGTCTCAGCATTCTGGCGGTCGTGTTTCATATCGTACCCAGCCATCGAGAAATAATAGGTAGTAAATAAAGGCTAAAACATTTCTCATTCTGTTATCAGCATTGCTAAGATATTTATAATCGGATGCAACACTTAGACCCACATGCATAACGTTTGAACTCACATCTCTTATTACAAGCCTTGATTCTTCAGTTCTCTCAAAACCGGTAGAAAAACCAACTCATTGATCATTTGCACTTTCACAAATTTAATGGTGCGATGATATTACACATTCTAACAGTTGTTTTTTTAAAAGGATATCAATTATACGATAGCTCAGATGACTGCTCGTAGCCAGCTGACACAACTTCCTCATACGGTTCTCCCTGAAATACATCGGCCGACATATCGTCGTAGTGCTCTTCGGGGATCTGTACTCCGTATGGCGCGTCGGAACTTTCAACTTCTACCTCAAGGCAAACTGTATCGTCCCGATCCACAGCTGAAAATCTCTAATTTTTCCCATTACTTCAAACTGGAACAAAATATAATCCTGTGAAGAAAATTACGAATTTAAATAAAATCATAAGCAAATGTACCTCGAAAATAAAAATTTCCTGAAATTTTTTCTAAAAAAGTAGCTGGTGCCTTCTCGTCCACACAAGATGATTTGTCAACCTTCTCGTGATAGATGAGACACGACACATTTAAATAAACAGTTATTCAGTTCAAGTGATAATGCCACATATTTCGCCCAAATGTCCATTAGATCGAAATTAGACTCTGAAGCCATATAAAATTCTCACAAAATCACTGATTCCCATTAGTGCGATGATCTGGGAATAAATTCCTTTGATGAAAATGTTAAATTCTATAGCATCTAGTTTCTACAGAACGTAGTTCTCTATTGCAAACAGAAGAACCTTAACCTTCTCAACAGAAGTTGACACTTACACACGATACCAAAACTACTGTGTTATGGCGCACTTTCAGCGCCAGTTTAACAAATGTCAATGAGTCTTAACAGTAAGGAGTTCAATCCATTGGCCTTCTGTGTATAGGTTTCTTGGATAGAAAATTGATGGACAGAGAAACCACCTATATAAACCATCTGAGCCGCAAACTGACAGAATAATGGACAGAAATTTATAGCAACTCTGTGTCGAACCACTAAACCTCAGGCTGAGAATGCCGTGATGTTCACTGTGTAGAGAACAGTGCTCGTCGATCGACGCCTGGTATGACACCTGCGGTGGAGAGGTTAGTTAAATATGAGTTATAAGAGTCGTTCCTTTCCGAAACATTATATAAGCGATCAGAGCGATAAAGCAGTCTCTCCTATGCTTTTTGTATTCACTATACGCTAAAACAATTGATTGACATAGAAACTACAAACCTGTAAAAGAAGTTCTTGCAACATTCTCTACCAAACTAACATCTAACTCTGGAGCTATGCAAACTCACGTTCGTATACAAGATCATCTTCATCTTCTTCGCCATCAGGCTCCTCTTCAGCCAAATGAAAAAATGTTGTCGTTTGCGGAACTCCTCGAACAAGCTGTCCCTGCAGATTCCGCACTTGTGCCATTAGTATATCCCGTTTAGACGTATCCACAGTCCGTTTTATTTGATTAGAAAGAATCTAAATATCGCCATCGGTAACAAATTAAGTCAATACACTGTCAAGTAGTACTTTAATTGATATTACATTTATTCTCCTCTTCAGACTAGTCATCGTTTCATCAAAATCAGCGTTTCCTGTCGGTTGTGGTTCCATCAACAGCGGTGCCATTTTGGATGACATCGTCTTTGCAGTATTTTCTGCAATTAAAGTCGTTGTGCTTAGTACAGGTAAAATTATATCCATCGCTGCTCACAATCTAAGTTGGTACGGCAAACTGTACCTTTTAAAAACCTTCACCATTTTAAACACCTTATTTCACCTTTTCTCCTCTTCGCATATTGCTCTATTGCTCTTCTTTTCGTTCGTCTTCCCTTTCCTAGTTTTTTTTTTGGAAAGAAATAGATCAACTTTTCTAGTGAGATTTTACTACATTTTCAGTTCTCGATACGGCGTCCAATATGAGCTTTATTACATGACCGGTCTACACCTAAACTAATTGAGTTTCTCTCGAGTGCTCGTAGCAATCGACACTTCCTCAGCATGAATCACCTGGAATTTTGTTCAATTGAAGAAATGAGTGATGGAAAAGCCACAGTACACCTGGATGACCTGGATGAATGATTCTGCTCATGTCATCCTTACGCTTTGTTAGACAGAACCAACTATTACGATCTCTTGAACCTTGATGAGGGTATCACAAAATGTTTTTAGGGAATCAAAAAAAAATGGGTCAGGAACTGCAACCGGCAATGAACAGTCGAAAACGAAACCTATGGCTTATAGATCACCAATTTCTCAATCAACAAATTTGGTGTGAGAATAATCGCAACTAGTCAGTCAAAGACGCCTTCGACAACTGCACTGGATCTAGACATCAAGCTCTCATACGCTATAAGAGGTGCCTAATTTTTCCTTACACGCAACTCAATTATTCTTGCCCGTAATGTCATAACTTTTATTTTGCGCTTACTCTTTTACATGACAGGGTATTATGTGAAGCACAACTACAAGGATGCTGGGACATGAGCAAAACTCGGAACCTCATTTCGACTTGGAGCTCTCGATTACTTTCACCGTGAGCCCACGACACAAACCGACGCCATTGTCATGCCTTTCGCTCGGCCAGCTTTTTATCTTGCTGTGGTATCAGCAGTCACCCATTAATGGGAATAATGTAGAGAGCACAAATCGACATTCAATCTAATTAAGCTGAAACTTCAGTCGAAATGACAATTCTTTCTTATTTTACATGACCTCTCATCATATCTACTGTGTGGATCCCAGCACTTCTTGCATTCGGTTCTTTACCCTCCCACTATTCCACAGTGGTCTTCGAACAGTTCGCGTGTTGTTTCAGCGTCTGCTTGAGGATTTCGTATTCCTTATGAGCGTATTAGAATGCTCGATTATTCCATTCCATTTGCAACGTCGGAGATTGCCGAACTAAGGTGTTCCTACGTCGATTAGAGCGTTGAGTCGAATCAACCCTTTGTTTCCTAATGGACTGTACCACTAACCACTACGCCACCCCAATCCCCTTCCGTAATCACAAAGCGTAATCTTTAAAAAGTTATATAAACAATTCAGCACTTTGAACTTTAATAGTCCAACATTTCCCATTGAACGACCTGGGTCTGACAACTCTCCAGCTCGTCTCTGAACGGATGCGCTTTGAATTCGAATCGCCTTGCAAAATGTATAACTTTCAAAAATCGTTTAACCTATTGTAATTTCCAAGCCCAATAATAAATTCTGAGACATTTGAAACCACTCAATCCTTAATAACGTGATCCACTTAAGGGAAGTACTCATGTTTCGCCATAAAACAATAAACATTTTCTGAAGATGATCGTTTTTTGCAAAGGGAGTATTTCAGAATGGATAGATCGTAGTAGCCTTAAGTTATAAACACTTTTCCTAATGCACTAAATCATTCTATTAGAATAAAACAAAATCTTTACCTCAGATTTGGCGATTGGATATAACGAATAAAGGATAAAGCTCTTGTCGTTGATCAATCCCTGAGGTACTCGCCATAAATTAGTTCTTACTAAGCATCGTTAGAGATGAGTGAATGCATATCTGGCCTTCACCAACCCCGGAAGGATGGAAGGCTTGGTGAATCTTGGAAACGGAATGAACCCATGTTTACTGCAGAGCACCTCTAACCACTGCGCTACACGCGAGCTTGAATGCACTGGATATAAAGGTAACAATTTTGAAGGAAAACAACACACCATTTCTAGCAGGATTAGTGTCCAGTGGGCTTTCGTGACTTTCTGTATCGTCAATAAAATAGGACAGTGAGTGACCTACGTCTCCATCATCAACTACCACCTGCAATTTTTACTTTTAACAAAAACTGTCTGCATATATGATCGAATTTCTTCTACAATAGATCTCACCATATCTAAGTTGTTATACTCGTCCTCTCCATCATATTCTGTATAAGTGCTTGCACCAATAATCTAAAATGTATAGTACACATAAGACCACTGATCTATCACATTGCGCATAACTGTTCCATACCGGTGGTGAAAGATCCCGCAATTCTTCCACTACGGTATGTGACGCCGTAGTGGGGTTGCTCGGATTCTGAGAACTGTAATAACGAAAAGAAGATAAAACTCATAAACTGTATACGAATGCGACCAAACAGATAGAAACCCGCCATTTCCTGGTTCAATTTTAAGTACATTGAGATGATGAACCTTGATATGGGTTGTGGAGTTGTTTTATAAAATTGGTCAATATTTTTCCTTCAGAAACAAGTTAGAAACATCTGTTCGAAGTTGGACAAAATTGAGGCTAGAACCACCTACTCAGAAAAAGGAAATAGTGCCCTATTTTACCTAGCTACGTCTTCACTAGATTAAAGTATTGACATAATATAATTTCAATGATGCTGAGATATTTGCAAAACTCCGGACTGCATGTGTATGCGGTGGGGAACGAACGTGCTATTGTCCCTTCTGGGGAGTAGCGCGTCCACCACCACACCACGCGGGTCCTTCGTTTCGCCTGTCTCTCAGCTAGTTCTATCGATCTTTTTTCCATCAGCAATCACCCGTCAGCGGGATTGATCTCGGGAGCCCAAAACGTCGACGAACCCAGTTAAGCTGAGGCTGCAGTTATAATGACAACTTTAACTTATTATTTACTGACTTTAAAAGCCATTAAAAAGAGTAGGCAGTAAATAATAAGTTAAAATTGTGATTATAACTGCAGCCTCAGCTTAACTCCGCTTGTTGCCGATTTGGGCTTCCGAGACCAATCCCGCTGAGAGGTGATTGCTGATGGCAAAAGATCAATAGAACTAGCTGAGAGACAGGACAGCGTGTTCTTTCCCCACAGCAGACACCTGCGGTCCGGAGTTTTGCAAATGTCTCAGCATCATTGAAGCTATATTTCGCAATATATGCTGCCGTTAAACAGAGCAGGCAGTAAATAATATGTTAAAACAGTGACATGATACACAGTTTTCACAGTAAATAAAAGGATAAAGCTCTTGGCGTCGATCAATCCCTATCCCTGAGTGATGCGCCATGCATTCGACTTCGTTAAGCATCGTTGGAAGTGATTGAACGCATATCTGGCCACTGCAATAACTCGCGGTGGTTTACCGATGTATCGAGCCAATGCTGCTATCCTCTCAGGCAAATCTGGCAGAAATCTGCCGATCACGGAGAGATGGAGAGCTTGGTGAGCCTGGAGCGCAGGCGCTGTTCCCATGTTTATTGCACGGCGTCTCCGACCACTGCGCTTCACGCGCCCCTTTATTCCATGGTTTGCATAGTAGGGAAAAAAACGACGAAAACCCCATAAATAGTTTTTGAGCAACAAAGCAGATAGCCATTCTGGAGAGGATAAGGACGAAACATATGAGAAGAACAATACGCCGACTTCACTAAATGAACGGACCACTCACTGCTGAATGCCGTGTGCAGTGTTCGTTCCCAATTTCGAGTAGGTGAATTCTTTCACTTTCGCAAACGAGAACCAAGAACATCGTCCACGCTCCCTATAAATACAAAGCCGAAATCAAAAACGAAATTGGAAACAGAGAAACTTCAGCTAGACATTAATACATGGATTACAGAATCCAACTACAGACGTACATAGAGCCAAACAAAAATACATGTTGTACTAGTAAAGTTTGCTGCGAATCAACCATAACTGAAATCTAATCCATCTTCTTACCATGAGTTTCTTTTAAGAAAAAAAACCATAGCGTGAGAAGAAACTCACTCAGGCAACGATCGCATAGATTGAAACCTAACAAAATGATTACCATTGTTGCCCTGCAAAGGGTAAAACAAAGAATTCAGAAGATCTAGAAACAATACAGTAATGCTTGAAATGTAAAACTTACAGTGACAAACTGACTCGATTTTGCTGCCGAACGAGTAGTATGCAGTAAAGAGAGGGCTGTTGTGACATGAAAAGTCAAGTGATAGATTTCTACCCACAAAACCAGATGCTCTGTTGTGAATACAAATCGTCTTGAACCTTGAAATTCTTCAACAATTCCAGTCCTTTCTTTAAGTATTGTTCGGAAATTAGTGACCGACTTGCAGATTCATTTTTTGTGTTTTAACATTAGGTTTTTTCACGAATACTACCACTAAATATAGCACTGGAACTGAAACTACCACTGAAACTCATTTTATGCACTTCATTTTTGTACAGTTAAGTTCTAATACAAATCGCAGTCTTGATAAATCTTAAGGCTAGGTCTTCTAATGTCAAAATAGCCAACTCGACAAATCTACTTATACGAATTCATGCTCGGTCGAATACAGTGCAAAAGATCCTAAACGTTACTGAGGGATGGGGGCAAAGAAATGTTAACTAGTGCACTGTAAATATTGCCCTGAAAATTTTCGTTTCGAATTCGCCATCGAACTTGAGGAACGTTGTGGACGTGCTTCTGCTATAGAACACGACGAGTTGAAGGCTTTTGGTGAAGAAAATCCATGCATAACTGTTCAAGAACTTGCAGATGAACATGGTGTAAGCATATCAACTGTTTCGGAGCATCTAAAGAAGATCAGAAAACCGAAGCTCCACAAATTGATACATGAGCCGATAGACAACTAAAGAAATGGCTGTTTTCAAGTACCCTTAGCGCTTCTTCTCTTGAACTAGAACTATACCTTATTGTGACGTGTAATGGGAAATGCATTCTCTATGACAATCAGCGACGACCGCCTCAGTAGCTGCGCTGCCATGAAGCTCCAAAGTACCTCCGAAAGCATAAATTGCATCGAAACAAGGCTATACTAACTACGTTAACCTTTAATTTGCTGCCTACTATAATTTTTCACGGCAGGATATGATGTGAAATACAACCACAACGATGCTGAGACTTTAGCAAAACTTGGACCCCGGACCAAATCGAGCCACAATTACCCTCTATGGAGGCTCGAGTATTATGGACTGCACCACTGACGTCCTTGCTTTGCATTTCTCTCAGCTATACTGACTGTTTGATAGTGTGTTGTCGACTTGAACCATCACCAGCTTTCTGATTCCTTGTATAACGACTATGACGGAGAAGTATGTTCTGCACGTCGATGAAATTCACCAAAAACTCCAACGGCAGCGCCCGGAAACTGGTAAGAAATCGGTATAAATAAACTTGTTTAACGTTGGCTAAAATATGTAGACTTTAAAGATTTTCATCTTTCGATTAATCTGTGCTGAGATATGCCAACTTAAAAATACCGGTTGAAATCCGCCATTATTTCCCGAATAAACTGATATGACGCAGAATCATGACATTTATCCGACCTCGTTCGACGTTTTGACAGTTTGTGAACTTGTATATAAGTACAAAGGGAGCATGTAGAGTTATGCTGCTATACACATGACATCGATCCCCGCGCCCCAGGCTCATCAACTCTTCCATCTCTTCGGTCCACACATGTCTGGGAGCAGAGCAACACTGGCTTGATACATCGGTAGACCACCGTAAGTCGTTGTAAAGGGCAGATATGCATTTAATCACCTCCAACAATGATTAATAAAGTCGAATGCAGAGCGCATCCCCCAGGCATTGATCAACGTCGAGAGCTTTTTTATGTAAGTATATAAATAGCCCGAACCATATTCGCAAGAAATATCCACCTACATCTCACAGACAACCATCTTATTCAATGGTAACTTCACCAGATGATATAAAAACAGCATAGCTTACGGTGAATAATACTCCTTACACAATGAATGTTGCTTCGAAGTGGTCTACTATGTTATCCATTTCCAATGCAGTGATCATTCCGTCGTTTTAAACTGACGACATGTTTCGGAAATCAGAAATTTTCGATAGAAGATTGAACAAAATCCAAACTTATTCGCCAAAATTATATTCGTCCATAAAAGTCAACTTTTGATGACAAATATTTATCTGAGTCATGAGATAACATCACTAACGGAAGATCTCCCTTCAAAATCTTTGTTCTCAAAGATCTTGCATTCATTCCTAAATTCGATAAGAACTTCTCCATCTTGATCACATACGAACAGCACACATACCGTTAAGACTGTGCATGCGATACTCTAAACCTTGTGGACTACCAATAGGACTTTTTCAAAACGACCGCTGCTTTGTAACTGATTACATGTTTTACACATTGAAACCTAAACCCAAACACAAGAAGAACTCTGACCGATACGGCACTGCGATATTACTACATTTTTATAACAGCATAACACAGAACTTGATCGAAGATCCTTATCACCACACTTTTCAGCAGGTGTCGAAGCAAAAGAAATATCCTGCTAGCTCAATGAAGCAGAGAATAATTCAGCTCTAGAAACGGAAGAAAGAACTCGCAGAAACGTAACCATGCACGAAATTGACTATCTTCAATGGACTAGAAAAAAAGAGTTAACACTGCGTAGAAATAGGAAAAAATTAACGAGTACATTAAGGTACCAACATATGCATGCACATGCACGAGTACGCTTGCTATTCTTGTAAACGCGACTGTTGACAGGATGTATATGGGGAGACAAATACATACTCCAACTAAATATCTACCACGGTAGGAATCAGATGGATTCAATGAGTGCCCGCTTTGTCGCTGTGGCACTGCGTTGGATTGACTTGGGCCTCCCTGTACACAAATAAATATATTCGTGCACAAGTCAGCGCGTATGTACGTACGAGCATTGGTTTCTTCAAATAAACCAAAGGTCCGTCTCAACGCTTCTTAAAAAGTAAAAATACAAAAAATCATATTAAACCTCACATACTTTCCAAAAAGTCCTTACGTCACAGCACTGCAAGTTGGCCTAGTTATCTTAACGCCAAAAAAGGCAAAAACGAAGGCCTGACGGGATTATGGCAGGTGGAAAAGGTAGCGGATATTTATAGGCATATCAAATCACAGCATACCATGTTCTATTTGTGGTAATCCTTTTCAAGATCTTACCGTCTCCTTCTCCTTTGACGATAACAATCCACGTTTTTTCAGTTTGTCAGCAATATTTCGAATTTCATAGCGTTTAAGGTGGTATCCTCGCTCTCCTGGTGAATATTTTTCTGAAACAGAAACCGTAAATGATACGTTTACAATGCGAGAACTATTCGCATAAAAAAATAATTCTTTACTCGAAAATAGATCAAACAGAACTCGAAAATTGCCATTTACCACGTTTCTTAATCACATGCACGGAAACGAGGCTATAAAGCTTGCTTCGCTAGCGTACTTCCTCCAATACTTACTTGGATACTTGGATGGCCCACCTCCATTATTTGTACAGGCATAGTTTCCACTTTTTCGGAGCCTTGCCAGTCTAGCCATTATTGTTCCCTGGAGTCTCGAGGTCAGCCTTTCCAATGTCTGCCCAGGTCGTCACCACATGCAATCGCCGCCCTTGTGGATCAGAGGGAGACTTGCCACCATGCGGCTAGTTCGATACCACGATGGCGGTGGATCCTGGTACTCGTTTACTCTTAGCTGGGCTTCCTGATGGAAATTCCAAACTCCTTCTCAGTTTAGGAGACTGCTAGGAGGATGAACGCTCTCGCCGTACATCGCAGCCCAACACCGAGGAACAGCTCCCAGCCATGCTGAGGAGATAGATCGTTGGAAGGACTTTCTTCAACACAAAGTAATAACTTGAAAAAGTCTTACTTCGTACAGTGTCTTGTATAGTTCGCGCATCAATGCCTTTGAGAAGCAATTCGGACACTTCCTCCTTCACCTTATTTGGCAATGGCAAACGACGAACGTCGAAACCATGCCCGAAATGTCCCAAACAGCACTGCACGGTAACCGATCTAAAAATTTTTTGCACCATCGTTTAAAAACCTGTTAATCAAGTCAAGGCCCACATCTAAATTCATAACAAAACCAAATTAACCAAGCGACAAATAGTTACTACAATGTTTTAAACTTCCATCTGTCATCTCAAACTTAAATGCAAATTTTGAGACGATAACATGCTTCCGGTTGAAAAGGACTAACAAATTGCTGATATTGTTAATAAAAAAAAAAATTACTGAGCAATTAGAAATCTTCGTCTGGAAACGACCTCAAAAACATTCTTGTCTTCATATAAAACGAATTTTCTTAAAAGGTAAGTATTTCTGTCAAACAATATTGGTCACGAACAAAGCATTACACTATGCAGCCAGATAGCCCTGATTTAGTGAATTTCAATCGCTTCTGGACTTTTGAGCAATATATTCTTAGAAGCCTTTCTTACCCATCCAACAGTTCTTTCGTATTAATAAATGCAGTACAGTAACGTCCTAGCTTCTTTGTCGTTCTTGAACGGGCTGTGGACATTGACGAGTGACGTGAACGGTTTGCATAGCCACTCAAGTGGCATAAATAATACCTTGGAAGAGAACATTTGAATGGATAGAACACCATAGTTATTCAATGAAAAATAAACTCACGATTGTATTATTCCACTTGCTCGAGTCCGACTAGACGATAGCACGAATTTAGATATCGTATCTGTCTCCACTTGATCTTTCCAGCTCTAAAAAACATATAACCTTTTAAAAAAGCATTAAACAACTACACATTTCTCGCACCTTAAACTTATGGAGATCTGGGAATCTGAATTCTTCAATCACCAAGTCGTCACGACTGTGTTCTCGTGCAACGTGTTCGCACAATGTCGACATACGGTCACAGATAACATCACAGTGTGGATCACCGCATTCTATGGTAGTTCCTCTGAAATCATCCCTAATTAGTCTAATTATTAGAAATAATTAAATACAAGTCTTTCGTATTCTGCAATACCCCGATAAAACGGTAAAGGATTAAGGACAAAGCTCTCGTCATTGATCAATACCTGAGGCGTGAGTCATGCATCCGACTTCATTAAACATCGTTTGGAGGTAATCGAATGCATATGTGACCTTTAAAATGACTCATCGTGGCCTACCGATGTATCGAGCCAGTGCTGCTATCCTCGCAGACAAATCTGGTCCCAATTTGCCGACTCTCAAGGGATAGAAGACTTGGTAGGCCTGGTGCGCTGGGATCGATCCCATGCATGCTGCAGAGTGCCTGCGACTACTGCGCTACACATGCTCCGCGCAATACCCTTATAGAGAGTAAAACGGACAGATTACAGATGCATACTTAGAAAAAACCGAATCCGCGTGTTTTTCGTTTACGTGACGATTCATCATTACATAAGAACCGAACCATTTACGGCAATATTTGCACTGTGCCTGGAATAAATACTGAGATCGATGAAGAAAAAAGCAATTTCTACAAATCATAAAACCCCTCTTCGAAGTCCCTTTTATGGTAAATAAAACTGCTACGTATAAAGTTACTGCTCGAATAAACACCTAAAGATTTGAATCTTTTGATACCAACGGGAGATGTTTTCCATCGGTCTAATTGAACGTTAGAATCTGGAACCCGATTAACTGCAGGCGGCAACTTTTTTCTGTGCCCAAGATGGGCGAAGCAGCCAAAGACGACGATATAACTAAAAAAAAGAGTGACTGGAACTTCAATAAAGAAACTATAAGCACTGATATTAGTAGGTACGTTTGTTGACGACTGATAGACACTGTGAAATGTGCAGGACATCCCAATAAAACTCGCATGCACATCCCTTCCTCGCTGGAACCATGTTTCTCGAGTTTTCGTCGCCATCCATCACAGTACTCACAACTATACCGTAATCGAATAACTCCTAAAGATAAAAGTACCAACATGAAAAAAATTTACGCTTATAATAAATAGTCACCTTCATTCTCCTCTCTATCAGCTTCTTCAATCATTGTGGTGGCGAATAACTTTTCTTGCGAACTTTTCCAAGCCTAACTAACTATGCATGAAGAGGGATAAGTACTGAACAAGATTTCTTTTAAACATTCACCTCGTACTTTTCCAAGGATATAAACGTCAACTTCCTTTGTCTAAACTGATGCTGGCAGTGAAATGAGACCAAATGTGAGATTAGGTCATCAATATTTGGGAACGACAACTGGCAATGTGGATGTGGACAAGCGAGCGCGTCAAAGGATGACTGAAATAAACGCATAAGCGTCAATATAACCGCAGCTTAATATGAATCCAACAAAATACAAAGGAGTTCACGAAAACATTTAGTATGATTACACAACTTTTCATAATACTCATTTACCTGGATGCTTGAATGGCTCGTCAACACTGCGGACCCAATGATAATATCCATTTTTTCGGTTTTACTGGTTTAGCTGTTGTGGTTACCTGGAGTACCGAGGTCAGTCAGGCTAAAGTCTACTCCGGGTCATCACCACCATAGTCATTCGCCACCTTCGTGGATCACAGGAAGATTTGCCACCATGCTACTAATTTGGTACGAAGACTGTGACGCATCCTGATATTGGTTTACTCTTAACTGGGCTTCCCAAGTGAAACGCTGCACTCTTTCTCAGCTTGGGAGACCCTGTTAGAGAAAAGAATACTTCTGCTGAACTTTGCAGCCCAACACCCAGGAACCATAATAGTTTCTCAACCATAATGAGGCCGTTAAGCATTAGGAAGCTTTTCATAATAAACTAATCCAAAAAGAAGACAACAACCAGCAATAATCTATTATTTTCAATGGTAGTCAAAATAAGAAACTTTAATGTTATTTAGCACTATCGATAATACTAAAACCATAAATTCATTTCTACAGATCGCACTATTCAAACGAAATTTAAAACGTCGCAATAGATGTGTTACAGGGATGGAAAGCAAGACCCATTCGTGTATTTGATACTAAGTGATTAAACAGAAATGTTTAGAAAATTGTCAATGGTAGAAGATCAGAGAGTGTGATACAACCACAACGATGGTGAGATATTTGCAAAACTCCGGACCGCAGGTGTATGCAGTGGGAATCGAACCCGTTATTACACTTTCCGGGGATTATTTCTATTTACCAGCGCCATTAGCAATCACCTGTCAACGGGATTGATCTGGTGAGCACAGATCAACATTGAACCCAGTTAGACCGAGGCTATAATTCAAATCACAATGTATTTTTTCATTTTCTCATTTTTTTCATTCATTTTGCTTTGTTTCTGATTTATTTCAAAAATATGGAATTAAATGCAATAAAATTGGTAACATTATCAAATAAATAACGTAGCAAAGCTGTTCAAAATACAGAAAAAGAGAGGAACACAGATATGCTTACCTTTCTTCTAATGGCTTTCCTCTGATTTTCAGAAGAAGTCGAGGGTTCTACGTCTGCAAATGTATTTCATGCACTATTAACTGAACATCCTGCTTATTGATATAAACAAAGAAAACCCACTCGTTGAAACTTTTGCGTCCCCTGCAACAGACTGGTGGCGTTCAGTACCCGCCACATGAACAGTTCCAGCCTTTGATAAACTATGATCCTCTTGAATAGCTCGCAACACCTAAACCGTCTTTTCAGCAAACATATGACTACGATCTTCAATCTTTTAGATTTTCGAATTTCGAATTTTTTCTTTCGATCTTCTAAGAGAAAACAGACTCCGAATTTTGCAATTTTTACAACCTTCGCCTCAAATTCCTATCCCAATCCTACAGATATTTCACATTCATACGGATATCCTCGAAAGTTCACAGTGAAAGCATTACATTACCCAAGATTAACTTTCTATTAACCTCGGCATTGGATTATAAATCTGTTGTTCTCTGTTTACAGCAATCGCGAGGTTGTCATTCAGCACACCTTTACTCCCTTACAAATAAAACACAAACAACATAACAGTAGCTGACGTTTCGGCAGTATCGCCTTCTTCAGAGCCTGAAAGGGTACACTAATATATAATTTACTGAATCAAACGCTTCAACAACGCGTACAGAGAGAAGAAAATCTGAACAATAATTACACCATCACCGGCTTCTCGAAAAACCCACCGTTTTTATCTACCTTCCACCGAGGAAGAACAGCCGCTTAGAGTCAGATATGGTTGATTACTGCATCATCGCACATCAAAAATCAGTTCTGAGATACGGGGTGAGATCATGCGTTATCTCAGGGCATTCTTCCCTGGTATTCATTATAGGGTTCTTGGCATTTATCCAAAAAATCTCGAGAAATTTACGCGTTGGTGTTTTAGTCTCCCGTGCAATGATAGCGATTTTTGCCCTGTTTTGATTTTCGTTTGCCATCTAGGAGTTCTTTTATGCGGACACATAAAAGTCTGCCCGTTTCGCCGATATATTCGTCTCCGCAAGTACTACAAGAAATCAAGTATATCGTACCTGAACTCATGTAGCCACCATCCCTGCCGTAAGGGCACATTACGCAATCTGGTGTTTTCCTCGTCCTCGGTCTCCGGCTGCTACTCCACAGGTACATAGATGATTGTTTTGTCGTCTTCCTTACGCAGGACGAGATAGACAAATGCTTCGAATTATTGAACGAGCAGTCTGAGTAAGTTAACCCAGTAGAAAGAAAAAGAAAACGGGCTTCCGTTTCTCGACGTTCAAGTAAACCTATCGAGTAGCGGTTACATGACAAAGTGGCACCGAAAACCAAGTAATAAAAACATCCTGGTTGATTTCCTTTCCTCCCACCCTTCGCACAAAAAGAGTGCGCTTGTGAGAAACATTTTTCTAACATCCACCTCTGTGTGCACAAGTAGGGAACTAAAGGAAGAATCGCTCAACTTGGCTCGGGAAATAGCTATCTCCAACGGCTATGAAATAGTAGCCCCACGAGATATAAATTTTGAAGGAGAGCGACGCCCCAAAACGAAGGGTTTGACCGAAACAAAATCCTGTCTATCTTGCCCTTCATTGGCGATGAAATAAGTGCAGCGATAAAGCGACGTTTAAGAGGGGCAGATCTAGAGAAATCGGTAGCGATAGTTGAAATACCACCGGATACTTTACGCCGTCAGTTTTTTCCCCTTACGGCAGAGACGGTGACTGCATGAGTTCAGGTACGATATACCTGATTTTTTCTAGTACTTGCAGAGACGAATATATTGGCGAAACGAGCAGACTTTTATGTATCCGCATAAAAGAACACCTATATGGCAAACCAAAATCAAAACAAAGCAAGCCATTAGGCACGCATAGGATACAAAAACATAGCGGCTAAGGTTTTGATGTAAAAGTCGCTATCATCGCACGGGAGACTAAAACACTAACGCGCAAATTTCTCGAGGATTTTTGGATAAATGTCAGAAACCCTATAATGAATAGCAGGGAAAAATACCCTGAGATAAGGCATGATCTAGCCTCATATCTCAGAACTGATTTTTGATGTGTGGTTGTGCAGTAATCAACCATATGTGGCTCTAAACGGCCGTTCTTCCTTGGTGGAAGGCAGGTAAAAAACGGTGGGTTCTTCGAGAAGCCGGTGATCATGTAATTATTGCTCAGATTTTCATCTTTCTGTTTGCGTTGTTGAAGCGTTTGTCCTAGTAAATTCCACATTAGTGTACCCTTCCAAGCTCTGAAGAATGCGATATTGCCGAAATGTCTGCTACCGTTGTGCTGTATGTGCTATATTTGTGAGGAAGTAAAAGTGTGCTGAATAACAACCTCGCGATTGCTGTAAAAAAGAGAACAACAGAAAGCATTACAATTGCAAATGAAAACGGAAATACTTAAAGTCCTACCTTTGTAGACATAGACATCTCTTCTAATGGAAGTTTTGCAATGGCAAATGTACCAATACCCTCATCCTTTAAAAGTAAAAATTTTTCTAAAAAGAATGTAGTGCAACAGAAGTGTAAAACCCGATAAAAAAAGTAGAAAATTTAGGCCAATATCATTGTTTTTGAGTTTAAATGCATTATAGGCAATACCCTCCCAACGGTTTACCGCCTCATTGTGGCTGGGAGGTGCTCCTGGGTGACGGACTGCGATGTGCAGTGGGGGATTCATCCTCTGGCAGGGTCTCCCAAGCTGAGAAAGAGTCCGGCATTTCCATCAGGAAATCTAGCTAAGAGTAAACCAATACCAGGATCCACCTCCGTCCTGGTATCAAAGTCGCATGGTGGCAAATCTCGCTCTAATCCACAAGGGATGCGACTGCCCGTGGCGGTGAAGACCTGAGGCAGACTTTGGCCAGGCTGACCTCGAGACCCCAGGAAACCATAATGGCTAAGCCAGCAAATCTGCGAAAAATGGAGATTGTGCTGGGGTTCGCACAACCAGTGAGTAATACTGTAGTGCTATACATCAAAACGAACTACTCACTGCCAGAATTGGGGCACGTTTGGATGTTGTAGTCGGGCCGGCATCCGGAGAACCAGAATGTCGTCTGATGTCGATTTTTTGAGAACCAGTCACAAGGGATGCTGTCAAGTTCTCTTGTCTACCTAGAGCATAGTGCACAACTTTTGTATTTCCTAAATCAAACTAACGACAAAGATATTAATATTGCCGTAAAGAGAACCAAACAACAAGAAGACTACGGGAATGCTTGCACCATCTAGACACAGGTGTTTTCAATGAATTTAAAAATTGTTTCAACCTAGACTATTTCTTATGGTGCGGATAGCACAGCGCTGATGCAGCCGATCACCACAAGCACGGCGCTGGTTCGATATCACAACGGACCCACCACTGGAAATTGGTACTGCAGTTGTCTCGGAAAAAATGACTCTTCAAACCCAAGTGGGAACGCGCTAGGCCGACGATCTCAGGACTCCAGGGAGAATCGACTTGAGCAGCATTCTACCATATTCAGGATGGAACGGAAATCGCCAAGCAGCACTCGAAGCCACACGTAAAAGTTGGAAGACCTTCGTAAATGGTGGTTGAGAGGAAACGAATCAAAGGTGAGAAGTGCTGGGATCCGCAGAGTAAATGTGAAAAAGCGTCATATAGAAATAAAAAAGACTAATTTTTAACCATGAAACCAAGTGGGAGCGATACCGTTGATTACGAATCACTTTGAAGAACTTCCTTCTTAAAAGAGTACTCAGAAATACATAATCTGGTAACGAACAGAACTATATCAGGTTGCACAACGCATCGTTTAACATTGCCATTCTAGCATATAGAAGATTACTGAGCCAGTTATGGATAGACAACTACGCTTCGTGTCATCTAAGA